AGAAGAGTTTTTATTAAAAAGGCATTAATGATGGAGGACGCTTGTGTAGTGAGGAAACCTCTTTCAACATATATAACAACACGGTGGTGCAGGATATGGAAGGCATATTTAGAGTCAGTATAAATATTGATGCATAGTCCCTTTGCAAGAGTGAGGGCCCAAGTTAAGGCAATGAGTTCGGCTTGCTGAGAGTTAGTGGTGCGGGGCAGAGCGGTAGCCTCAATGATAGATATGGAAGATACTATAGCATAGCCTGCCTTTGCTGGCGAGTGGCAATGATGCCTGGTGGAGATGCATCAATAAGTCAAATGTGATCAGGGTGAGGAACAAGAAAGAAGGAAATATGGAGAAATGGGGTGAATGTCAGGTAGATCAGACAGATACAGTCATGGGGGTCAGGCATGGTATCCAGAATAATGTGGGAGGCCAGATTGAAGTCCAGGCCAGGAACAATGGTAATTGTGGGACACTCAACAAAGAGTGAGTACAGATGAAGGAGCCAGTGAGCAGAAAGTATATGTGTCAGGTGTGAGGAAGAAAATAGATTTTGGAAGTTATTAGAACTGTAGAGAGTGGGTTGAGCATAGTTTGTGATTTTTGAGGGCCTCTAAAAATATTAGGGCAGTGGCAGCCGCTGCACGGAGATATAATGGCCAACCTAAAACAGGAAGGTCAAATTGTTTGGACAAAAAGGCTTCAGGGTGCAGTCCCAGTCGTTGTGTAAGAATTCTGGCTGCACAGTCCTGCACTTTGGCTGTGTGTAATGAAAAGGGTTGGGATGAGTTAGGGAGAGCTAGTGTGGGAGCAGTCTCTAAAGCTGTCTTCAAGGACTGGTAAAAGGAGTAGGGAAAGGATTTAGGATCTATGGGGTCAGCTAGGTTTCCTTTTGTGAGTTTATATAATGGTTTTGTTAGGACGGCAAAACCAGGTATTGAAAGGCAAAAGTATCCAACCATGGCTAAGAAGGAAAGGAGTCATTGTTTTGTAGGGATTGGGGTTTGAGAGATCAGTCAGACACGATCGGCAGTGAGAACACATGTGTTTTTATGAAGAATTACGCCAAGGTAGGTAACAGATGGAGAAGAAATTTGAGCTTTCGGGGGGATACCTGATATCCTTTGGAGAATAAATGTTGAAGGAGCAGGAGGGTGTCTCACTGGGAAGATTCAAAGGAGGGGCTACAAAGTAGAAGGTCATCAATATATTGAATAAGGTGAGAAGCAGAGTGGTGGAAAGAAAGTAAATCATGAGAAAGAGCTTGGCTGAAGTAATGAGGGCTGTCCCTGAAGCCTTGCGGCAGCACAGCCCAGGTGAGCTGCTGGAACTGATGAGTGTCAGGGTCAGTCCAGGTAAAAGCAAAGAGAGGCTGGGATGAGGGGTGCAGGGGAATAGTGAAAAAAGCATCTTTAAGATCAAGAGTGGAATAGTGAGTTGTGGAGGAAGGTATTGAGGACAAAAGAGTATATGGGTTTGTCACCACAGGGTAGATAAGTAAAATAATTTGGTTGATAAGGTTCAGATCCTGAACTAACTTGTAAGACTTGTCCACTTTTTGGACAGGTAAAATGGGGAAATCGTAAGGAGACTTTATAGGCTTTAAAAGGCCATGCTATAACAGGCCAGTGATAACAGGCTTTACTGCTTTTAAAGCATGCTGTGGGATGGGATATTGGTGTTGAGCAGGGTAAGGGTGATTAGGCTTTAATGGGATGATAAGGGGTGCATAATTGATCACCAAGGAGGGAGTAGAAGTGTTCCATACCTGTGGATTAAGGTGAGGAGATACAAGCAGAGGATGCGAAGGAGGCTTTGAACTGGGGAAAAGGCAGCAATGAGGTGTGGCTGTAGCCCAGGAATAGTCAGGGAAGCAGATAATTTAGTTAAGATGTCTCAACCTAATAAGGGAGCTGGGCAGGTGGGGATAACTAAAAAGGAGTGCTTAAAAGAGTATTGTCTAAGTTGGCACCAGAGTTGGGGAGTTTTAAGAGATTTAGAAGCCTGGCCGTCAATACCCACAAGTTACAAAGGCAAAGGAAACAGGCCCTTGAAAAGAAGGTAATGTGGAGTGGGTAGCCTCTGTATTGATTAAGAAGGGGACAAACTTACCCTCCACTGTGAGAGTTACCCAAAGCTCGGCATCCATGATGGTCTAGGGGGCTTCCGAGGTGATTGGGCAGCGTCAATCTTCAGCCGCTGAGCCAAGAAGATCTGGGAAGAAGTCAGCCAGAGAGTCTTGGGCCAGAGTTCCAGGGGCTCTGGGAGTGGATGCCAGGTGAGTTGAACAGTCCGATTTCCAGTGGGGTCCCACACAGATGGGACACAGCTTAGGAGGAATCCCAGGCTGCTGGCATTCCTTGGCCCAGTAGCCAGATTTCTGGCACTTGTAGCAAGCTCCTAGGGGAGGAGGTTCTGGAGGAACCTCTGGCAGCTGCGGTTAAGGCATTTGGAGTTCTTGTGTGCTGCAGATGTGGCTGGGGTTTGTCTCACAGTGGAGGTAAGGAATTGCAAACTCAGAAATACATTGCTACTTGGCTGCCTTTACTCTACTAGTGTACACCTTGAAGGTGAGGTTAATTAAGTCCTATTGTGGGGTTCCAGGGCCGGAATTTAATTTTTGGAGCTTTATTTAATGTTGGTAGAGGACTGGGTAATAAAAATACATATTGAGAATAAGACGGCCTTCTGGCCCCTGTAGGCCTAGGGCAGTAAAGTGTCTAAGGGTTGTTGCCTAACAGGCCATGGACTGGGCTGAGTTTTTATATTTGATGAAAAAGAGTCTAAATGCTAACTGATTTGGGAGAGGTCAGATAAAGAAAAAGGAGCATTAACCTTGACTATGCCTTTAACTCCAGTCACCTTTTTAAGAGGAAATTGCTGGGCAGGTGGGAGAGGGCTAGTGGCAAAGCGAAACTGTAAGCTGGAGCAGGTGTGAGGACGGGAGGTGATAAAAGGATTATAGGGTGGAGAAGTGGAGGCTGAGGAAGAATTGGGACCTGGCTTCGCCTGGCGAGGAGCAGCCTGGGGAGGAGGGGAGAGGTCAGATGGGTCTGTAGAAAAGGAATGTTGGAAAGACACAGCAACACTTGGGGTTGGGACTGAGGGGACAGGCAGGAGGGAAAGGAGCAAGATTTGGGATGAGTTACGTTGGGAACAGAGACTAGGGAGGGACCGATATGTAAAAGAATGCCTGGACGTCGGGCACCACAGACTGTTTGCCCATTTTACGACAAGAATTGTCTAGATCTTGTAGGATGGAAAAATTGAAAGTACCATTTTCTGGCTGCTTGGAACAACTGTCGAGTTTGTATTGGGGTCAAGCGGTGTTGCAGAAGAAAATAAGATGCTTAGATTTTAGATGAGGCAAGAGTTGAAGAGGTTTTAAGTTCTTGAGAACACAGGCTAAGGGAGAAGAAGGAGGAATGGAGGGTGGAGGGTTTCCTATAGTGAAAGAGGCAAGTTTAAAGAGAAGGGTAGAGACACGGAGAAGGGGGTGGGGAACAGCACTGGGCTGCTATGTGGGTGAGCAGCCAAAGCAGGTGTCCCCGCAATTGACTTGCCACCAAGGGAGTGTGGGTGAATGACCAAGGCAGGCATCCCTGCAGTGATTGGACATCAATGGAATGTGGGTGAATAATCAAGCAGGCATCCCCACAGTGATTAAACCCCAAGGGAAGACTGTCTTCCCAAGTCCATGACCAGCACCAGAGTTTTGGGTCCATGCATAAAATGTGTCTCCTTTGTCTCTACCAGAAAAGGAAAGGAACTGAAATTAAGAGAAGGGAGAGATTGAAGTGTGGCGCCAAGATTGAAAGGAGAAAGAGGTTGAGGGATAGTGAGAGATGTTGGAGAAGAGAGTAAAGAAAGGCTGCGTACCCCATTTAAAATTGGTGAGATGTTCCTTGGGCTGGTTAGTCTGAGGACCAGAGGCCGCAGGTGGACCTTTTTCATAGAGCAAAGAGCAGGAGGACAGGGGATTGATCTCCCAAGGGAGGTCCCCCAATCTGAGTCACAGCACCAAATTTCACATGCGTCCTTGTGAAGAGACCACCAAACAGGCTTTGTGTGAGCCACAAGGCTGTTTATTTCACCTGGGTGCAGGCGGGCTGAGTCCGAAAAGAGAGTCAGCAAAGGGAGATAGGGATGGGGCCGTTTTATAGGATTTGGGTAGGTAGTGGAAAATTACAGTCAAAGTTGTTCTCTGGTGGTTAGGGGCGGGGGACACAAGGTGCTCAGTCAGGGAGATTTTGAGCCAGGATGCGCAAGGATAAGGAATTTCACAAGGTAATGTCGTCAGTTAAGGCAGGAACAGACCATGTTCACTTCTTTTGTGATTCTTCACTTGCTTCAGGTCATCTGGACATACACGTGCAGATCACAGGGGATATGATGGCTTAACTTGCGCTCAGAGGCCTGACAATTTCACTGTACTTCATACCAAGTCATACTTGCTTTATGGCCAAGTTTATTTTAACATTTAAGTAAAACTCAATAAACAAATACTAGAAAAATCCATCTTCAAGTTCAAGTGTGTTCTTCCATGGACTGGAAAATGTTTTAAATTTTGGAATGGGACAAAATAGGGAAAGCGAAGACCCAATTTCCAAAAATGTTTTATTTGGGGAAAACTTTAAATAAATCCTTATCAGAAGCCTACACATATATATGTACACACATACATACACACATATATTGTAAAATATGAAAATAGATAATTAATCACAGTAAGACATTTTTCCCAAGATTTCACTGAGTTTTTGTTGTTGTTGTTGTTGTTAGCTATAGTGTGGAAGTATGTAGATTTTACATTTAGAAGCTACAGTTATACTATATTTATGAATTTCCAAATTTGCATTTTTTCCTACCTTCATCTCTGCCAAATAAATAGTTAATATGCCTCATACAGGCTTAGCAAAAGTAATTATAACTGTTTTTTGAAACATATTTTTTTAATGACCCAAAGGCGCATCATTCTAACTATCCTTTTTTTTCCTTTCTGGCAGATGACATTTGATCCAGAAATCTTCTTCAACGTTTTGCTGCCACCAATTATATTTCATGCAGGATATAGTCTAAAGAAGGTAAATATATAGTGATCGTTTTCTTCTTTTATCATTAAGTAGAGAATTTTACCAGCACTAATGAGAAACTGTTATTTTTATGGGCTTCTCTTTTTGCTCAGAGTATCATTATCTTAGATTTCTGATGCAGATTCAAACCTGACATGCTTAGAATTCTAGACTTCTTCTAAACCTACTCTGTTGAATATAGGCCATTAGCCACATGTAACTATTTAGCTCTTGAAATGCAACTCATCTGAATCGAGATGTTCTTTAAGTGTAAAATACACACTGGATTTTAAAGACTTTGTATTTATTAAAAGAATGTAGATATTTCCATAATGTTTTATATTGATTTCATGTAGAAATGTTAGTATTTTGGATTGATTGGATTAAACAAAACATTATCAAAACATATTTCATCTTTTAAAAACATTTTAATGTAGCTACTAGAAAATTTAAAAATTTTTATATATGTGGCTTGCATTATATTTCTATTGGACAGCATTATTCTGGATGATTGTAACCAAAGACTTTGGTTATTAATTAACATTGGGTTTATCCTTTCAAGTGAAAACGCAAGAATACTGTTGATGCTCATAGAGAGGAAAGTCCAGTTTTGCAGTTTCTATGCACTTGTCTAACAATACTTGGGCACAGCCTGACTATGCACATTTTGTACATTAGTAATTCTCATAATAGTTTAAGTACTGGCATCCCCTGAGCCACAGAGCGAGGCCCCAGCCTACATGGTTTTTGAGAGGCAGAGGTGATGTGACTGCTCTTCTGCTGCTCAGTTCCCACTCTAGGAGATTCCTGGGGCTTTCCTCCCCTTGACCAGTCATTTTCAGCAACCAGGCAGCTTGTTCACTACAGACCTGATTTTCTTGTGTGTACTCCAGGCTCCCTCTTGCTCTCAGTCTGGCTCCTCAGATCCCACTCAAAAACTTGGAATGGAGTTTTCCCTAAGCAAGCAGTTGAAAAAATGTAGAAGGCTGGATTTGTTCAGGTCACCCTTCCTTATTGCCAGTCCCAATACTAAGCATCATTTTGTGGCTCACTCGTTAAAATAAAGTGAATTGCTGTAAGTTGGGGGATTTATTTTGTTTTGTTTTGTTTTGGAGACACGGTCTCCCTCTTTTGCCCAGGCACAATTATGGCTCAAAGCAGCTTCGACCTTCTGTACTCAAATGATCTTCCTTCCTTCAGCCTCCCAAATTGCTGTAATTACAGGCATGAGCAGGCTGTTGTAGATTTTTAAAGTTTATTTTCATCACATTTAGAAGACATAAGAGAAGTCAGAGATCCAGTAAAATCAAAAGGCAACTTAAAACTCTTAGAATAGTTTTGTTTGTTTGTTTGTTTTAATGCTAAATGAGTTGCATTTACAACGAAACTTCATGAAAACTGTGTCTTCCATTATTGCCCCGATTCTGGCATAGACATTGCCCAGTTCCTTCCTTCCCTGTCAGGTCCAGCCAGTTCTGGGAAATGCCTCTCTCATCCCTACCTACTCATCTTCCAGTGGTTTTTTTTTTTTTTTTTTTTTTGTTTTTTTTTTTTTTTTGTTTCTTGCCTTTTCCCCCCAGTCCTTTGCAATGAAAATCAGTTAAGTCCCTATTAGCACAATAAGGCCAGGAATGAGGCTCCAAAACCAAAATTTGCCTAAACAGTGAGGGATCTGTGAACTGCATACATTTATTTTTATTTTCTATTGTACTAAGAAAAAATTCTGATGTACTCTATTAAGTGTTTTTTTTCCTCCCCAGAGACACTTTTTTCAAAACTTAGGATCTATTTTAACATATGCCTTCTTGGGAACTGCCATCTCCTGCATCGTCATAGGGTAAGTGACATTCGGAGCTCAAGTTGCAGGTGGCTGTGGGGTCTGTGATCTGTGTGAGGGATCTAACACTTCTGGGATTCTTGCTGGCTGGGAAAATTGTCTTTTTTTTCTTAGTATGTCACATATTTGTACATTTTTTTCTGGATTAATTCCGAGGCTTCTGACAAACACAAGACTTCAAAGCAAACTAGAGGATTGCTGGATTTTCTCTGTGAATTCTGGACTTCTGACTTAGGGAATGTGGATCACTTGCCTTGAGTTATGTGAAGTGCATTGCATTCTTCTTTTAGTTTGAATAATGCTGATATGTTCACTGCATTCTTTTTTGTTTTCTATTGAGGGACCTTACCTGTATTTGGCAGGATTGCACTAACTATATGCCAAGGGTTTTCTTTCTAAAAGAAAGTTTACAAGACAGCAGTCTGAAACAGATGTGTGCAAATATCAACAGAGTTGCTTAATACTGGGATAGCTTTTCAGTTAACACCCTGTAGAATGCAGACTCTTTTTCATTATATTTTCTTGATTATGCTACTGAGCCCTAAGTCACACTTTATACACTCTGGCTTGCAGCTCATCATAAAGCAAAATGTGGTCCCAAATGGTGAAGGCAATCCAGCCTCTGATAATCCCATCCAATACATTAAAGCTCCACTGCAGAAAAAAAAAATGTCCAGATACTATGACTGTGATGATGCAGATGTCTTCAATTTTCTGATACAGTCAACTCTACTCTTGATTTTTACTGTCTACAGCTGTTATAACCCAACACAAGAAACTGATGCTAAAAATACACACAGTTCATGCCTCCACCCCTTCTCTTATGGAGTTTCTAGTGTGTGTCAGTTGAAGACCAACCAGGTGTCAGGCAGTGTCTTTACTTGTGCCTGTAAGCAGAGGGATTTTGTGTTGAATGCACTGCTAAATTTCTGTTGAGTGGAGACTAGAACAAGTCAGGCTATGTTATATAAAAATATTCACAATGGTTTAAGACAGTGAGAAAATTAAAGATTTTAGCACCTGAAAAGGGAGGTTCGCAAGTGTATAGATTAGGGAGCCCCATTAAGTCTGGACACAAGTGGTCTTTAAACTGTGAGTGACCTGAGAGACACAGGGTACTTGACCCTTCTTAAAGCATGTTCTAGGAGGGCTTTTCTGTTCTGTGAGTATGCAATAGCTAAATATTCACATTTCTAAACTTTGCAGGGGTCTAAGAGATCTATGTAACTACAGCCTCTCATTCTGAAGATGAGACATCTTCAATAGTTAAATAATTGGCTCAGTCTTACCATTTCTGAGAATCAGGGCGATGGTCAAGACAGAACTCAGAACTTCTGCGTCTGATCCAGCAGGTCTTCACTGTCTCTTCCTTTAGCAATTTCTCTTGAATTCCTATACATCCCTATGCATTGTTTCTACACATTGAGAGAGGGTTCTGAGACATGTGGACTCACAACAAATGTTCCTTGGTTAATAGTAAAGATATATTTTAGTGGTTCTATAATATGGAGTCTTGAAATTTATAATGTATCCAAATTCTAAACTCTTGGACAATGCTGCCAAATTGTAGAATAGTAAGTTTTTATTGTTACCTCATTTCTTTGGTACAACTGGTTTTAAGTATATTTAAGTGCATTTATTTATATTTATATTATATGCTTTCACTATCATGAAAAATCTAAATTCTTTCTTAGATCTTTCAATATCCTTTTTTTAAGAAACCACCAATATATACTCTGTGTGTGTGTACACATCTAGATGTGTATAAGAGACAGACACTATACTATACTCTGTGTGTGTGTGTGGGGTGGGGGGTATATAACTGCCTTTATCTAAAACATTTCAATTTAAGAGATCAAGTGATTTTCATTTACTGGGGTTGAGAACCTATTTTGATTTATTTTAAGACAAGATTTTAAATTGTTGGTTGTCCAACAACTTAAAATGGAAAGTCATTTGAATAAAAGAGTAGTCCTAAGAAAAATTTTAGAACGGTGTTCTTAGTTTGAACTGGGTAAAATTTGTGGTTACTTTCTTATTGTGGGTCATTAAAGTATAGAAGGGAAAGATAGCTTAAACATTTTACAACCTCGTCTAGTGAAGTAAGGGAAATCATTGAAATGTTTTAGCTTGAAGATGAAAAGTCAGATTCCTACTTAAGAAGGTCATTTTGGTAGCTGTGTGAAGGAGAAATTTTAAAGTGGGTACCATTTAAGAGGTAATATACATGGGCCAGGTTGGAAATGATAAGGGCCTGGACTCAGTTAGTGGCAGAAAAGGTAAATGTGGAGTCATTAGCTTGGTGAAATCTTGGAAGAATATGGCATCACCCAGGGCAAGTACGTGAAGCGAGAAGGAAAGAGATCTAGGGAACACCAGTATTTTGAAGAAAGAGAAGAGACACTCACAAGGCACCAAGGAGTATTGGACTCAAAAGAAAACCAACAGGGCATGTGTTCTGGAAGTCAAAGGAAGAGGAAAAGGGAGGGTCCACAGAACCTAACACAGGAGAGGTCAAATGGGATAGGAATTGTGGCACCACTGGATTTGACCCCTAGGAGGTAATGGGTGACTTTACACTTGTCTTATGGGCAAAAATGAGGGAAGAGTATTGGCAAGTCCAGTTGTTTTGGGATCCATATAATCAGAAACAAGAATTTACTTTTATGCTGCCAGTCTTGATATATAATTTCAGAACTGCTGAAGAAAAGGGCACATGCTTAAATTCAGATCAAACTGACACTTTCACAACTTGGTAACTTCCATTATATGAGATGCAATCAAACTGTAGAAAATGACTGGCTATATTTTCCTTATAAATAAATGGTGATAAGAACAACAACAGTTTATGGAGTGCTTGATACGTATCATGCCCTTTTAAAAAGTACTTTACCCATTTAATCCTCAAAATAATCCTATTAAGTAAGTAGATACTATTTATTAACCTCATTTAACAGATGAAACAGCTGAGGTTAAAAAAGAGTAACACAGTGGTAAATAATAGAGCTGGGATTAGTAACTAAATCGTTTGGCTCCAGAGTCAAATTCTTAATGCTAAAACCTGCTTTACTTCTGTTTGTTGAATATTAGCACCAAAAAAATGAAATTGTATAAATTAATCAATATTCATTCATCAACATACCACATTTCTTCATTATCCCAGTAGGAGTTCTCATAGACATGGGAGATTTTTATTTGGGAAGTCCATCCAAAAAGAATTCACATTTTTAAGGGATGGCCTGAGTTTATGCAGATATACTCAGACTTGCATGAAATGGGCAGGGGGAGGGATTCAGAAGTTAGATCAAACTCTTTGAGAATGATTTCATAGAGGAAATCATTCTCAAATGATTTTTGCCCGGATCCCGGGCAGACATTTAATGGAGAAGGATAAAGAAGTCAGATTTTCCATGCCATTAAGTGCGTTAGTTCTGGTGGGTGCCGGGAACACTGTGCAAGGTTCCAGGATGGAGAGTAGGTTTCATATAGCAGTGCCAGAGATTGTGGGAATGAAAATGCTAGAGTCAGCTGACAAAAGGCCATGAAGTCCAGCATCCAAAATGTATGAGAATGTGAAGGCCATGGAGAGAGACTTGGAACATGAATAAAACTCAACTAGTGGGCTGTGATCTTCTGTAGCTAAGCAATGTTGGTTTTAGCTGAACTCAGATACTTTACAGGAATGGAGATCACTGGGTTTATTTGCATGAACGAGGTCTTTAAGTTTTATTAATTTCATGTCATTTCAGAAATTAGATGTAAACCATTTTTCATATTGCATGGGAAAGTTTAACAATATTCTTTCTGGCAAAAAAGTCGAATAAACCTTTTTTTATTTCAATGATGGATTACTCTGAAAGAATTCACCTACCTTTTCTAGTACCCTCTCCCACTTTATCACTTGAGAAGTAGTATCTTACATCCATCTCCTTCTAAAAAGAAAAGTCCATGTGTTTGAAATACATTTGTATTCATGTCCTCCATCTTGGGGGACTAGTATTTGATCTTTGACTCTGTCTCCACCATATACACCATGTCAATATATCACAATGACAACCTAGCTGAAGCTCACTGTCAGCACATACATTTGTTCTAAGAACTCATTAGTATCTATGAAGTGCTTCTTTTTAAGAGCAACAAAATTTATATTCTCTTAGTTTCTCTGTTAATGAGGAATTAATACAAATTCCACAGTTTCAAAACTATTTGAAGAAAGGGACATTAATCTAAATGATCAGGAATGGAAAATTAATTTTAAGAATACCTCATTTAAAAAATTTCTTTCCATGTGCCAGACAGTGACTTATGCTTTTTACATGTATTATCTCATTTTATCTCATACTACCCCTATGAGGTAAATACTGTTATTATCATCATTTTACATATGAAGATGCTGCAGTTGAGACTTGTCCAAGATTATACAGTAAGTGGTAGTAAATTCAGAGCCAGTCTGACTCTAGAACACATGCTCTTAGAATCTCCTTGTCCTTCTCCTCCTTCTAAAATGACATTTCATGTGTCCTGCAGTATTTCATGAAATGGGCAGTATATGTCAGTAATTATATCTGTCTGACAAACCAAGACCTCAATAATTTCAGATTCTTACCTTTATCATTATGGCTAGAAATTATGAAAAATCTAAATATTTCAGAATTGTCTGTGAATATAATTGCAAACAGGAAATCAAACCTGTCTTTTCTTACTGAAGGTGGTTGGAGGGATGGTATGAATCCATTTTACTTGCTTAATGTATTAGTCCATTCTCATGCTCCGGTGAAGAAATACCTGAGACTGGGTAATTTGTAAAGAAAAGAGGTTTAATTGACTCACAGTTCCACATGGCTGGGGAGGCCTCAGGAAACTTACAACCATGGCAGAAAGCACCTCTTCACAGCTGGGCAAGAAAGAGAATGAGAGAAAAGCAGGGAAGAGCACCTTATAAAACTATTAGATCTCATGAGAACTCACTCACTATCATGAGAATAGCATAGGGTACCACC